TAGTTGTAGGGGGCGCTCACCGATCGTTTTTACGAACCTCACTCGTTCCGTTGTGCCTTACGGGCTCTCTCTCGAGCCCAACCAGCAGCCGCACAGCGGCGCATGATATAGGCAGTATGTTATTACCGACAAAGACAAGAGAGACTGGAGTGGCCGTTTCTGGCTTATTAGTCTTCGTCAGCCCGCCATACCTAACCCCGAGGTGTGTAACACCCGAGGCTCAATCCCGCAACCTTTTGGCTAGGAGTCCAATGCCTCTAACCACTGAGTCACGGGATCGTCATCCTGTCGGTTGCGATCGGGAATATACAGAGGTAGAGGGGCGCTCCCCGATATTGTTACAGAACACACTCGTCCCGTTGTACCTTAGGGCTCTCTCTCAAGCCCCGCCGACAGCCCCACAGCAGCTAGTAGTATAGACGGACCAACATTACCGATAAAACGGAAGAAACTGGGGTGACCATTTGCGGCTTGTTAGTCGTATATACCCAACGTCATGTTTTGCAGTCCCTGAGGCTCCATCCCGTCACAGACTCGCTGTCCTGTCGGTTGCGGTCGGAAATATGAACGATTATATCGACTATTTTTTTTGTACAAATAACCTTACCCAAATAAATCCGAGGACAAGTAGTGCTCATCATCATAACCGTTCGAAAATCTTTCCTTATCTCAAACAAGCGGGAAATGTGTCAGTGTCCCACACGAGGGCAGGCTATTCTGACCGTCCATCCGTGATCGTCTTTCTTGAACATTCACGGAGCAAAAGACTGCCATCAAAAGACGTCAAAGTTGGCTAGACAGCGCGTCAGAAACAAGTCTCTACGAGACAATGACGTAGCCTGTCGGACGACTCTTGTCTGCATCCGACGGCAGGTAGTGTGTCTGTGTGCAAAACAGCACTTTGGCCGAGAACTGGGTCATGCCTTCTGCCATCCAGACATGCGACTGACTTCGTTTGTCTGAGACCGGCCGTGTATCTTTAACGGCGCTCAGTCTTTCCGGTCCCAGCTCCAGTGTACAGTAGATGTGCCATCTCATGAAATGTTAACAAGCATTCTGAATTGCGCTTTCAATCCGAAAAAGATTCCCTAGGCCTGGTCGTCACGTTATTTATCGTTTCGCATAATGTCAGGATATTTTCGTCACGTCAGTATGCCAACTTCCGCCGGAGTAATTGCACTCGGCAAAAGTGATTACTTGAGTAGTATGAATGTTCCCCTTAGTTTACGACGTCCTTTTAAATTCAAATATATTTCGTCAAAAACATGCTCAAAAAGTTATTTACTTATTTGGTAGCGCACTACGTTTTCTTTAAATGTTATGCGGTACGTGACCTATCTCACGAAACCTGAAAACAGAAACTGATATGAGCATTTTCTGACGTCTTAGACGCTGTCCATTCTGTTTGTTTGTCCAGCCTCTTTAAGGACATGTTCTCTTCTCGTGCAGAAAATGTGTCCAAATACTTTTACTAAGCAATCTAGTCATGCCTTTAAGCAAAAATGGATGTTGCGATATAATCAGGGAATTTTCTATGCAACTGCCAATCTTGGACTTCGGTTGCGCATCGGAACGCAGTTTTCTTCGAAAGGAGAGTAATTTATTCTCGAGAGCTTTACTAAACAGAGCTTGCCTCACTTGAAATCACGGGAATCATCGTGCAAACACACAAGTTATTTTAAGAAAACCAGACATTTTGTCCATTTTCCAAAGTCAGATTAGCAGATCTGTCCGGTTTCGGGCCATAAAGTGCAGTAATAACGCACACAGTCAACCCTTCGCTTAAATGAGCCGAAACTGTTTTACTGTTCGAAAAATTATACGGTTGCCACAGAAAGGACTACCACCAAATACTCATTTTCAGTTTTGAATATATGGAACACTACTTTTCATGCGATCTAGTTTCTGCACATACGTAATTTAGAAATGGAACGGGCAACACATTAACCGTTTCAGCAAAATACCACAATTTATATGGACAATCTGCCGTGCATTCAAAATCGCAGAACGTAAACTAAAAGTGAGCAACTATAGCGAAAACGGACGGTATGCTCTTAGGTTTTCGGAAAAATATATCAGTATTTCTAACAACTTGAAAGAAACGGCCAAAAGGGTCAAAGTTTTTCTTGCCTTCACCATACGATCGTGTAAAGTAAAGAGGTATTCGTCGTTGAGTGCACTATTACGGCACTCTCTAAAAAGGAAACCTATGAGAAACAGTTTTTTGATTGGTCAAAAGCATGTTCTTTGGCTGATCTTTGCTTCGACGATGAGGTTTTCTATTTGGATGAGTCTTTACATTTGACCTAAACGTCCTTTAGCATAAAAAGATGGCCCAAGCACTCGTTATTTCCGTAAATGCCTTCAGGAGGTATCTTATTTTAAAGGTTTGAGCAAATGTTTATTACGAACCTTTCGTTGTGGGCAATCGATTTGAAACTTTGAAATTCATGAATTACTCAGCGAAATTTCAAGGTCAATCTGAACCTCGGCGTAATCCAGAACAAATAAAAAAGCGCAAATTAATTGCAAGGAAGAAAAGGTTTCGTTATATACACAAAATGGTATGTTAACGATTACACCTGTCAGTTATATTTAAATTTACTAGGCACTGTTCCGCCTGGCAGCAGGTGTCCTTTTGAAAACTTCTGTACCTATGACGTCCTCATCGGCGTGATAAAGTAAAACCCTGTCTGCCTTATTGAACCGCATTTCAATCAATTCAAAAGCGTAAAGAATGTCAGTAATTCTCGGGAAACCGTCCTGGAATCTATGCTCAGGATGTACGCTGTTAGGAAACCTCCATACCTGAAATTGCACTAATTGTTAAAGGAAAGTTAAATGTGAATATCATTAAAAGATTAGTTCCAGAGGCTATTTCATCTATGCAGTCGTATTTACCCATTGATTTCGCATGGACAGGCTTCCTATACATCGAAAACTGAAGTTTACATACGTATAACCCTTTTTGACGTTTTTGGCATTCTTCGCTAATTTAAAAACTTGCTGCTTTTAAACAACGTAGCATTATCTTTAGCATTTCTCTTATGTTTTAAATTCCTTTTAAGTTGTTATTAATAACGTAGATACATGATCCACGCATTGGGGATAATTTGCGAGTGACTAGTAAACATGTGTAAATTGCGGCAGCTTTCGTGAATTGGGTAACGCACTGTACTTGAAAAAAGAGTACCTTTCGACTTTAAAAAGTTTCTAATCAGGAGATTCTTCATTACTGTGAAATATCGCTCAGCATCGCATCACACATTTATAAAACTGCTTATAAATTTGACAACGTACTGCACATCCACTGCAAAATATTAGGAACCATGTATGTCCTCGTTTTAAGAGCATATATAAGTATGCGGTTTTCCTTACACAGAAGGTATGCGGATATAAAGTTATTCGGGAGTTAAGAAAATATTTTACAACTGAAAGATACTCTTTGTTTAAGTGTAAAACGCAAAGATGATGTAATATGCTACCAAACGAGTGGGAGGAAAAATAGTTTTTGCGTTTCTTTTATGAGGTATATTTGAATTCATAAGGGCATAGACCGTCAGAGGTAAAAATCATACTAGATAAGTAGCCATTTTCTGCGGAATGTAGTTTATGCAAGCGGCCAATCAGAAGCTCATTCGAAAGCCAGCATTCAGACATTACTATATTATCTTAGCATTATGCGACCAGAT